GAATTAAATCTCACGAGGTTAGATTGTGGATAAGCACTGCTGATGAGTCCAGCAGTAGGACGAAACTGTCATCCAGTTCTTCTAGGTTTTGCATAGTGGTCTACTAGCAATCGGTTTATGATCTCAATCAAAAACTTAATGATTTTCACAACTTTTATACTGACTTTTGATTAGTCATTTTAACATTTTACAAATGATATAGATCATCTGAAGATTTCATTTATTTTCTATGACTTGGTTCATAGTATTTTGATTATGAAGAGGTTCTTATGTTAATTGTATTATTTGCCCTATGGTCGATGTTTACTTTGACTGTTTATCGCCTCATTTAATTTAATTTCAGTCAGTCAGCCACAATGTAGGACCAGGCACTTACATGCATCAGTCCATGATGACACATCACATTAACAAAATAAGATTAACAAATTCATAGAACTTGTAGTGTCAGTTATTATGCCAAGCCCATATACCTTATTCGAGCTTTCGGACATCCCATTCTATTCATTTTACTTGAGCCATACATTGACCTTGTTATTTATTCGCTTATCAATCTAGACTGTTTTTATATGAGCGTATATGTGTGTGCCCTTCTTATTCCATTAATCACATGTCTGTAGCTTTATTTTGTCTGACTATAAATATTGAGTAACACTTGACAAAGAGGGGAGTTGGCTTCCCAGCCATCTTCCATACGTGTCAAAATTGCTTTGGCTCTCGCTCACTTTGCATGCGAAAGGGCCACCACAAACTAGTTACTTCAGTTGTAGTAATATATAAAAGGAAGATTGTGTATAATGACATGATATGGAGAGAAAGAATCAATTCAAAGTGTATACACCGGCAGCATTGTGACCAATTCCGAGCCATGTCACAGAGTCTTCAACTATTGGTTAAAATAGTGACGTCGACCCCAACAGAGTAGTCTGCATCTACCAACATGGCTCGGACTAGAAGTAAGTGACTTTAAACACTGATGTCAAGGTTTTTGTTTGACTGTCCCAAACTTCCTTCCAGCCGTCTCCAACGCTAGTCAACATTGCTTTTAGTTCATCTAAATTGTCTTGAATAGCCTACTAGATGAATTTTCAAATGGATATTGATGTAGTTAGTTGTTTTGAAATGTTCATGTGCGGCCATATTTGATATATATAGGGCTGAATATGTTAAACAAATATTCCCTTCGATATATACTGGTTATTACTAGAGTTTAAAAGTTTCCGTTACTGATTTACAATGAATATACTTTAATGCAATCCAATGTATACATGAATTTAGGAGTGTTATTAGAGTGATCACTGGCTTCTGTCCTGAGATATATGTGATGTAAATTCACCTGGTACTGTCTACTTGAATCTTCCCCTTGATCAGTCTCTTATTGGCACGTATACATACTGTTCGTATGGCCTCGATATTGCCTTAATTCACAAGTACTATAAACAAACATAAATAGTGACCAGCAGTAGAATGTAGGCACATCCAGCTGACGAGTCCAAAACAGGACAAAACGCGCGTCCTGCATTCCATTACTAGCCACTACCCATTTTCTCTAGTATCTGATCTAGTTTTTAAACGAAGAAAGTGTGCGATTTTTATTTCTGAGTACTGGGGGTTGTAATAAACTTAAAGATATAGAAATCCAGATGAACTATTCTTGATTTTACGACGACATCCCCATTCTTTTAAATCTAATTTCTTCATAGACAAATAGTGTACAGTGTTAAATTTACTAAGATAATAGGTGTAAACGATACTGAATTCAGTGTTTCAAAATGGGAACCATCACTGGTTTGACATTCAGGGTGAATCCAAAAACAGGCTACAATAAGATGAAACGGCCGTCAAGTGCTTCCAGGTTAGCCATGGTGGTCTGGCTTCAATTGAATCATGATCTCAACCATTGAAATTACTATAATGTCCACAAAACCCCTTCTGATACTAATCAACATATGCTCACTAGTGACGGTCTCCAAAAAGGTATATCCTGGAGTTCTAGTGAGCAGTGGAGTTCAGCCGGGTCTTTTGTGAGATAGTAACTCACTGATAACAATGATGGATGTGTCGCTCAATTTCGTGGATTAGTTGAAATTAGACATTAACACCAATGAGTCCCGGGTGGTTCAGTGGTTTAGTGGTTAAGTGCTTGTGCGCGATACCAGTAGGTCTTGGGTTTGAATCCCTCGAGGCGGAGTCGTTGATACGCACTGCTGAGGAGTCCAGTGCTCCCACGTTTTCCATGGCGGTCTAGCTTCAATTGAATCATGATCTCAACTATTGAAATTACTTTAGATTGTGTTAAATTTCTACGTAATTCAATAATTATGATGATTCGGGATGTTACTCATCAACTGAATGGGTATGATTCAAGTAGACGATGAAATTTCTCGGCAAAATTAAATTATTCAAATATTAACTATGTGTTTATTAAGCTCTACTTCATTTGACTCATTTTGATCCAGTATAATTTGTAATGATGACTTGAATACCAGTTGGAAATAGGTGGCCTTCTAGAAAGAAACAACAGTTGATTCTTTAACCGAAGTATCTAGTCCACAAAGATGTGGATCAGAATTAAGAGCTGAATGCTTTCAAACACCTGAGCTATTTGGAATTCGTTAACAAGTCATGCTTGGAATAATGAAGGAATTGTCGCTTCCTGTAAGCTCTGAACTTAATTCACTCAGTTCTACAATTTGACAATTTATTAATATACTATTAAAGATGTAAGTAATGATCTGTACAGTATAGATACGTGCATTGTTGAGTTAGTCAGAGTAGTCACTTAATTGTAACTTAATCGACAAATTTCTATCAACACTAATGACTTGGAAGAATGTAACTTTAATTTACAACATTCAATGAATAGTCAATATCAATACTTAATTCTTGTCAGTCAGTCAGTTAGCTACAATGTAGGACCAGGCACATATATGCATTGGTTCAAGTTGCCATATTGCATTAGCACAGCAAGATGAACACCGGCTGTAACAAATATTGATTTAATTTTGATAGAGTTTTATTCTTTGAACTGGATCGTTTGGTCATGGAGCTTTCATCTTTCTTCGGAATGACATCATCAGCATACTGAATTTTGATTAAAGTAAACTATCTTTCCGAATTTCAGTTAGCTGTTCAAATTAATTTTTCTGATATAATTTGATAGATACAGTTTTTCTGTTCCTTAAAAAAAAAGATTTATCTTGACATTTTCACTAAAATTTACTTGTAGTAGTTACTATGGTAATAAAATACTAAAATTTGGCAAAATTATAATTTATGAACGAACCAGTCAAAAGAGTTTGGGGGATTTCAAGATCATAATGCCAATTTCAGTACTTAATGCTCATGTACGATCAGTTCATAGTGAATTTTAGAGAAAATGTGATAATTGAGCGGCTACGATAAATGGGACTACTAAAAAGTTCCTTTATTTGTGATCGTGGTAATCGAATGACATATGGACCTTGTGCAGACTACCATGATGATGTTGTCTTTCGATGTAATATATGTTGGAGGAAGAAGTCTGCTAGAATAGAGATATGTGCTTAATCAACATGACAAGCTTACATCAATAAAGTGCACACAAACAATATTGAAGCTATGTAGTCGAGACTAAAAGAGTTTTTGCCACCTTATCGTGGCTTCAGAGGCTGACTATTATAGAGCCATATGGATGAATTCCACTACCGTATGCAATAGAATTTTAGGACCTTTGAACCTCTTTTTAACCTTGACAAGTTTTTGAACCCTGTCAAAGAAGTGTATCCAATTTAACTCTAGTTTTTCCTCTATATTAACTGTTTCCTTGTTGGCTAATATCCCTTAAGGTCAAAGGTCGTCCGAAAGTTATAGACTCGCCAAAATTAATTTGAAAAAGACTACTGTCATTATTACTCTTAATGTATGAGTAGTCTAACAACTTTGATATTTAATAAAAACTATTAGTTCCGAGTAAAAAAATAAAGATAGTCAACATCATACGTAAGTCCTATGATGGATCAAACTGCGAAATCGTGCATGGAAGAAAGCTCACACACTCGTCCGATGTAAAGACCGGTGTCAGGTAAGGTTGCTTACTCTCACCTTTCTCTTTCTCCTCGTGATCGACTGCATTATGAAGACGTCAACATCTCGGCGGAAGCATGGAATACAGTGGACAGCTAGGATACAGATGGACGATCTGGACTTCGCAGATGATATGGCTCTTCTATCGCACACGCAACAACAAATTCACAAGAAGAAGACCAGTGTAGTAACAGCCTCAGCAGCACTAAGTCTCAACATTCAAAAAGGGAAAAGCAAGATTATCCAACAAAGCGAAACATGCACCAATCCAATCACAATTGATGGAGAAGATTTGGAGGATGTAAAATCCTTTACATATATGGGTGGCATGATTGATGAACATGGTGGATGTGATTCAGATGTGAAGGCGTGGATCGGCAAAGCAAGAACAACATATCTACAACTGAAGAACATCTGCAACTCAAAACAACTCTCTGTCAACCAACATCAAAGTCGGAATTTTTAATACAAATGTCAAAGCAGTTCTACTGTATGGGGTGGAAAGTTGGAAAACTACGAATGCCATCATCCCGAAGATATAAGTGTTGATTAACAGTTGTCTACGCAAAATATTTCGTACCCATTGGTCAGACACTATCAGCAACAACCTACAGTGGGAGAGAACAAACCAAATTTCACAGGAGAAAGAAATGAAATCGAAAAAGAGTTGGAAGTGGATAGGACACAAATTGAGAAAAACACCCAACTGTGTCACAAGAAAAGCCTTCACATGGAATCCTCAATGACAAAGGAGAAGAGGAAAACAAAAAAACGCATTACACCGAGAAATGGAGAGTGACAGAGGAATAAGAGTAAAGAACAATGCGATAGAACTATAAAGGAAGATCTCGTAGAGAGTGGGTTGCAGAATGTTGATCGGAAGTCTATGCTGCTCCATTGGGAGTAATAGGCGTAAGTATGTATATAAGTAAAAAAAACTAATAAGTGCTTACATGATTATTATAATTATTCTTATTGTTACCATTGTTCCTTTCAGCTTTCATTTGATGAAGATATGGTTCCGATTGTATTGATCTCAATTTACCATTCATATCAAAGTTTACTTTATTTATCAATTTATTTTTTACTGGTGATGATGATGATGTCGTCGACGTCGATGTCGACGACATTAATGACGGTGTTAATATGTTAATTGTTGTTGGTTTTATAAAATTTGATTGTTTCTTATATTCTACCATTTTATCAATATTATTATTCAATGTTTCACCATTCATAGATATAACAGAAATCTCAGTGATTTCTGATATATTTAATAAATCTGATTCAGAATCCCATTTATGATCAGATGATTCATTATGATATTGTTTTAATGTATTCATCATCTTATTATCTTGTTTATATTTTGATGATAAAGACGATGATGATAAATATAAAAGATGTTGGTCAGAGAATGATGATGATGACGATGGTGATGTTGTTGTTGTTGTTGTTGTTATTGTTGTTGTTGTGTTGTTGTTGTTGTTGTTGTTGGTGATGTTGTTGTTGTTGTTGTTGTTAAAGATGATAATGATTTCATAGTGAATTTATACTTATCTTGTCTATTAGTTAATTCATTATGTAAAGTTGTTATTGTTGGTGTTGTTGCTGATCGATCAAGTTCAGAGTTTTTCAATTCATTTGATAACAATAAATTTGATGATTTTGATATGTGACATTCAAGTTGATTATTATAATTACTACTATCATTGAAATTAGTAATATCAGCATATGTATTATTGATATGTGGTGATAATGATGATGATGAAATTGATGGCGATAATAATGATGATGATGATGATAATGTTGTTGACAGTGGTTGTGTTGTTGTTGTCGTCGTCGTTGTTCTTGATGAATCTTTCAACTGTTCAGTTTCATCTTTAATGATTAAAACAGCTGATTGAGATTTTCTTTCTAAATAATTAGTTTTACTAATATTCAGTGATTGAATGGATCGACGATAGTTATTATTATTATTATTATTATTATTATTATTATTATTAGTAGTAGTAGTAGTAGTAGTAGTAGTAGTAGTAATGTTATGATTATTATCCATTGTATTATTATCAATACTAAGCTGTCGAGTATTCCATGCCATATCAACACTTGTAGAACGTTGTGTATTACGTCGTCTAAGATCAGCACGTAAAAAACTAGTTCGATGCATTATTCTAATATTGTTATTACTGTAGTTGAGATTTGTGTTAGTAATAGTACTATTATTAGTAGTAGTATTATTATCACTATTACTATGATTACTGTTAATAAGTCCTTGATTTATTACAAAAGAAAATGGTAGAAAAGATTAAATCATATAAGATATTCATTATCATAGTGGAAAACAAACAAACAAACAAGGATCTATTAATTTCAATAGTTGAGATCATGAGTCAGTTGAAGCTAGACCACCATGGAAAACCTGGAAACACTAGATAGCCGTTTCGTCCTATTGTGGGACTCCTCAGCAGTGATATATTACTCCATAAGTTTATATGCTATTTAATTGATTATATTTTGTGAACAAAGATCGAAGATGTGTTGTTTCTATTTAAACACATAAACGTTGGTACAAGGTGGCACTAAATAAATATGCGCCAGATAAATCATTCGATTTGTGTGAGAGCTAGGATACTGCCTCGTTACCCAAACAGAAGCAGGTGGTTTTTTAAAGGGACAACACTGGTTTGGAATCAGGGTTTTCCAAATCCCCTGGGTGGATCCTCCATATCGACCAACCCGGTTATAGCGCCAAACACTCACTTCTTGTCCTTTCAATTTCGTAAATAACACTCCCGCCTTTAGAAGGCAGTGAGTAGGAACTCTGTGGAAGTGTTTGTATGTACATGGCCATCTGAGAGCGTTTCGAGAGGGAGGGCTGACTCTCCTCATTCTCGGCCGTACCAGGGCATTTTTGGCCCTCTGGATAAAGATGAAAGATGTATACATTTCGTTTCATTTGAAAATCACCAATTAAGTGTATTTCATTGTACATAATCATTCAAAAATAACAGTATTTATTAATTTAAGCCACAATCTCATTTATAACAGGTGTTCTATTTACATTATCATTATTTTTAAGGGTTTGTGGTTGTTGGTATTCGGTATAATTTTTTAGCTTTGTGCACTGCTCGTCCTGACAACCATCACTAGATAACGCCTAATGGTGTGTAGAAATCAGAAGAAGAATACGAAGCGTTGTTTACGTTTATTGTCGCACCGCACACACACAGATCTCCAGAACTACAGACACACGAGGCAAGAATGATATGTGAGTGTCGAACAGCAAGCGAGTGAGTGAGCGAGTCCATGAACAATATTAAAATGTAATCGCTGAGTGGATAACGCGATGGCGTATGAAGTGAATGCTATTGGGTGCGAGTCACAGAGTGCACATCAATTCCAAGATGCCAGTACATCCGACTGACGAGTCCCAAATAATACAAAACACGCATCCTGGATTTCACAGATAGCCACTAACCATCTTTACTTAAAAGTTATTATTATCGCAATACTCATATATCAGTAGTATAAAATCATTTTATTATAAATATAAATTATTTAATAATCATATTATAGGAACTTACTCGACTGAATTTCTGGCAACTGTTGAAAGTTGATAATTTTTAATTGTAACATATCTCTTGTTGTTGTAATCAAATCAACTACTTGTGTATGCGTTGCATCATAAACATCCATACCATTAATCTAAAACATAAATCATATTTCAAATCAATCATAACTATTGTAGAGTTGTAATGATTGGTACTATGTCAAGCCAACATAAGTTGTTCTAGCATTTAGACAGATTAGTTTATTTATTCCTCTGAAACCTAAAAATGCCGTGGTACAACCGAGAGTGAGGATAGTCAACTCTCCTTCTCGAAATACTATCACGCGTATACAGCCACTCTCACAGAAGTCCTTTTCACTTCATTCTAAAGACAGGGGTGTTTTTTTTACGTAAAGAGAATGTCCGATGCATCAACCGGGTAGGTAGATACAGAGGATCCAACTAAGGTAGTTGGAAAACAATGATTACAGACCAATGTTGCACATGGGTCCTAGAATCCTGAGGGGATAAATGACGTATGAACAAATTATTAGTCACCGACCACCATGTGACTACATCTCCTGACGTTGCTTCACTGTCCCAGATGTAGCCTCCTAAGAAAACCACTTGCATCGGTTTGGCACTCAGGCAGTTTCAGAGCCCATACACAAATCAAGAGACTTGTGTGGCGCATTTCTATTTGGTGCCCCTTTGTACAAATATTTATGTGTTCAAATAAATATATTTTGACCTTATCACTTATTTGCTTACTAACCTTGACTATATTTTATGTCATCATATGTGTGCGTATTGCTTATCTCATTCATTACATGTCTGTAGCTTTTTTATCTGAATCACGTTTGATCAAAACGGGTTGTCTTAATCGCCTTCTTTACTGACAGTCACTTCATTTCGGTCTGCTTCCTTCCCTTCGTCTTCCTGATTGTCTATATAGATCAATAAGTCTATGAAATATATGTTTTGAAAAAATCCATTTACGTATTTGACTTATTAGTGAGACTATAATTTATGGACGACCTAGGGACTTGAACCGGAAATCTGCAGTCTAGTGCGCGAGAGCTCCACCTCTAAACTACTGAGCCGACATCCAACGGTTTTAATGTATAACTTCAATCGATCCATGATATAATCTTTGTTGGCTAAAAAAACAATTAATGCATATTACTAAATGATTGGAAATAGTTAGGAGAATTCCCTGTTGGAACTAGGTTTTGTGATAGCTGGAACTGATCAGTAAGGTGTACACATACAATATTGAAAAAGTTCATGATTTCTGTAAGATTCAAAACCATACCAATCAGTTTTCAAGTCTAAGATGTTATTGTTGAGTTTTTCTAGCAGCGAATGATTGACTCATGAGTGGTAACCAATGTCGTGTTTTACAAGTCTTTAGTTGTGATCAAATTATTTAGATGAAGTTGTAATGTGGCTACTGTACTGAGCGACTCAACATTTTCTGCATAACTTTTTAACTCTAGACGGTTGGAGATAGTCGGGATGAAACTCTGAACTTTAGTTTTGTGTTCATTGGTCCCGACCTATTAGACTAGTATTCGTATTACAATTTGGTTAATACAATCAGATTAATACTAAAGATCATACAGACATGATATTGAAGTTGATGACCCCAATAAGATTCAAACATGGCATCTTTCACTTCTAACTTCAACACGTTGTGCACTGAGCTACTAAATTTGGTTTGTTCATAACCTGTGTTACGGATACAGGTTTTATACATTGTTATGTCCCAATAATCATAATGAATGGTAACTTTTGGGATCCATTTATGGACGAATATTATACGTATATGTTTTATCGTATAATTGTTAATTAACTAAACTGTTCATATTCATGTCCCTCTTATCATAAGCTTTAATTTGACCCATAGACTATTATTATACGATTTACCATTCTTGAGTTATGTCCTGTCTATCAATTACTATCTCCCACATTCACAGACACTTTTGGCTAATTCTTGTACAAATGTTATTTTATATTTTATGGTACGATGTGGTCTGTCTGGTTGGTATATAAACCCGGTATATTTGAAATACATGATTCATATTGTAGAGGCTGAGATTTGTGTTCTGGACTTAACTGGACAGGCTAGGACCAGTCAAGTTTTTAGACTGCTCGCACGTGTTTTACGCGTCCTTGGTCCGATTGATAATTCACTGCTCTCTAATTGACGGTCACAAGATATATTATGCATACAAGTTTATATTGATGTTGAAGAGAGCAGAATAGGATCAAACAAGTTACCTTGGTTACAGCGATAGACATTAAACGACTGAAATAGAAAACATGTAACGATGTCACAATACCGAGGCAATTTACTCTGGATGTAAATATGTTATTAGTGACTAACCAATCTCAATACTTTACCATAATATTAACAACAGATTAAACATATAACTCCATACAAATAACAAATCAGTCTATTTTCTTGAGCCGTCATCCAGAAAATACAGGTGTTTATTAACAGTTGTCTACGCAAAATACTTCGGATCCGTTGGCCGGACACTATTAGCAACAACCTACTGTGGGAGAGAACAAACCAGATCCCAGTGGAGGAAGAAATCAGGAAGAAGCGCTGGAAGTGGATAGGACACACATCGAGGAAAGCACCCAACTGCGTCACAAGACAAGCCCTCACATGGAATCCTCAAGTCCAAAGGAAAAGAGGAAGACCAAAGAACACATTACGCCGAGAAATGGAGATAGACATGAGAAAAATGAACAAGAATTGGATGGAACTAGAAAAGAAGGCCCAGGACAGAGTGGGTTGGAGAATGCTGGTCGGCGGCCTATGCTCCATTAGGAGTAACAGGCGTAAGCAAGTAAGTAAGTTATATATCATTCTTCAACTTCATATACCTTTTTTCCACATATTTATTCATATAAAAACAAAACAAAATTGTTGATGAATTCTAACTACCACGAAATCTAGATTAAAGATCTACTCCAGATTGTGACCAACTCGCTGGGATGAAACTAGTCAGTTAGTTAGTTTATTAATTCATCAGTTAATTTCATTGAATAATTTACCTCAAGTATATAATCGCCTGGTACAAGTCCAGCTTTTTCCGCTTTACTATTTGGTTGAACGCTCAAAATCCTTTGACTGGGTAAATTGTTAGCAATAAATGATCGTTCTTTAAAATCTATGTAAAAGAGAAAAAGACGATATTTCAGTGGCTTACAAGTATTGCACTCATACCATGATCTAAAAATTACAGGTTCAATACTATGTAATGACGTAACTGGTAGGCACTGCTGATAGATCATATACTAGAATAAATCAAATGTCTAGACTTCTTCAAGTTCTCGAAAATTCCTCATCTGATTTCAACTTATAATAAGAAATAATGACTTGACATACATGAGATTGAGCACCATCCATTGATCAATCAATTGTAAATATATCTCAGCGTCTCTGACTGTAAAGCTGGGTGACACAGGATAGAATTCGTCAGGAAGCATCAGTACCCTCTAGGTTTCAGGTAAACCTTGCTGACGAGTGCCAAGTAGCACGAAACCTAGGTCTAGGGTTTGTTGTTGACTACCTCTAACCACCATCTTATCTCAACATAGTGCGCAAAATGTCGAGTCGCCTAGAATAGTGGTCACATAGCAACTTGGTCGATAGGGTTCGATCTGCACTAAGAAGGACCTGAAATACATCACACTGATCCCTACCCAGTGATCAGTCAATTGTAGATAAAATTTCACTATAGATATTAGAATTTATGAGCATCTAATTTATATAATATTAAGTGCAAAGGTAGTTTAGTAGATTGCTAGTTCGAGCCCTAGTTCACCTAATTTATTCTGATCAATTAGACTATACTACTAGCGTCCCTCCAACTCATACACAAACAGAAAAACAGTGTCATTTAAAGACATACGACATAACCTTGCATTCACCAGGTGAAGGATATTGGCTACTCATTATGAAGTAAGATTCTGTCCTATGAAACGTCGAAGATTTATAAACATCAAGTCACCTAATGTCCAAGAGTCATTTTACCACTAAAATTAGGATACTTGACTACATTCAGTAATAATATTTGCTATAGATGAGAGATGAATTGTTAGTAGGTTCGTGCAATAGGTAAGATGTTCCAAATGAATGCTATTTTGAAGAGTAATATATAAAAACGGTAATGAAATAAAGACTGGACCTCGAAAGGAAATTCGGTTAAAGTTGGTCTTAGTGACCTGAAAGCGTGACCGCAGTACCCAAAGGGATAACTGTTTGAGGCCGGTCACACACGATCATTCTGAAGGTAATTTTCGTGTTGGCTACGTACTTGTTGAGATCTGACTACCGCAGATGGAAATCCGGTGGAGAAAGTGAGGTGTGTATTTTAAAGGGCCGACCTTTTATAAAACCACTCTTCATTTGTGGGAATGCAGCATCGCTACCATACTGGTTGTCAGAGAGAAACACCTTGCTGCCGTCACACTTCTGTACAGTCAGTAGTACAACTTTGTCCTCGGACCTTGAGTTTACTGCTTTTATTCTTACCGTTCTTCAACTGACCTGTGTTGCATGGTAGGACCTTGACGAACGATTGTTCTAGCCAGTATAGCCTCATTGGTTGATTACGACAGGCCAGTTGGACTACCACGTAAAGATAGTTGCAACGGTCAGTGAAGTCACATTTATTGTTACAACAATAGACATCTTTATCACATTATTTGAATTAAAAAAATTTGAGTCTGTATGTTTAGAATTTAAGGTAGAACACAAATTAATGATGATGATGCATATGGTAGAGGAAATCATCCATATAGCTTAATAATAGTCGGCCTTCAGAGCCATGATAAGGTCGCAAAAGCTCTTTCAGCCTCGATCACGTAGTTGCAATATTGTTTGTTTGCAGTCCGGTTGTTGTGTCCACAAATTACCGTTTATGGATAACGACACGATGCACATAACCAAGTAAATATAAGCATCTGTATACGTTCCAATCATCTGTATATATTGCAGTACCCGGCTGTAGCCAGTGTTACTGGTGCTTTTTTTTATCCAGTCATAGTTTGCCACAGTCTCGATCTGGATCGAGCAAAAAATCCTATTCTGGCAGACCTCCTCCTCCAACATATATTACATCGAAAGAAAACAATATTACGGTAGTCTGCACAAGGTCCACAAGTCTTTTGATTACCACAATCATAAATAATGGAACATTTTAGTAGTCTTAATTGTTGTAGCCACTCAATTATCACATTTTCTCTAAAAATTTACTATGAACTAATTGTAAATGAGCATCAAGTATTGAAATTGGCTCTATGACTTTGAAACCCCTCAAACTCTTTTGATTGGTTCGTCCATATATTATAGTCTTGCCCATACTTTCAAAAGATTGTTAATATGAAATTAGAAACAAACAAACAAACAAACATTGTTTGCTTACTATCTGATCCTTGCATAATAAAACCGTAACCAGTTATTCCACGTTCCAAAATGATTGAACGTATACGATAGTTTGGATAACGTTGTCTAAAGCGATAAAAATTGGGAAACAATTAAAACAGTGAACTAATGAACTATATTTCATACTATCTGATTGATTAGAGTGAAGAATTCATAGTGTATTGTAATGAATTCTTGCCTTGTATCTACGGAACTTGTAAATGTTTTAGTAAATAAACAGGGAATGGTTGACATTTATCATTACGCTTGAGTAAATATTCTTATTGTTTACTAATAATATCAGTTAAAGTAAAGCTTTAACATGGGTTTGAATTTTTTAGTGGATCAAATACATCACACTGTTAGTAACGATGGATTCGAACTAATAAAGTTTGTATTTGTTCATCAATTTGGTTATATTAATTCAATCAGCATGGATTCAGAAAGTTCGTTTTGCTATTGTCAAATTACGTCACCTATAGAGAAAGCGAGATATCCGTTTATCAATTAAGGGATGAGTATATTACGCAGCAGTTTGTTCTGCTCTACTTTACGGCTGAGAAACTTGGCCATTAAGAGTAGAAGATACTTGTAAGCTACTAGTATTTGATCACAAATGTTTTCGAAATATTGCTTGCATCTATTGGGATCACCGGGTAAGTAACAGTGAAGTTAGATGTTGGGTATTAGAGAATGATGGTAAATCAGTTGATGAGGTTGTAAATCTTCGTCGATTGAGATGGTTAGGCCACCTGTTACGTATGTCTGAACATCGATTACTACGATGCGTAATGCTAACTAGTGTTGGGGATGGTTGGAAGATAGTCTAGGGCGACCAAACCAAAATGTGGAATCAGTGTTTGAATTCACTAACTTCTAGTCTGAGCCATGTTCGTAGATGCACACTACTTGATTGGGGTCCGCGTGACTGTCTTAACCAATGAATGGAGACTTTGCGTGATCACAATAGTGTAGTTGTATACACTCTCTGTCTTCCTTTAAACTATGAGATTGAAATCGCTTCATATCTTTCTTACTACGAGCTAATTTTTACTTCCTGTACTATATCCTCATATGCAATCTTTCCTTAATATATTATTGCAATTGAATTAACTACTTCAATGAATTTTGTGTTCATCTTGTTGTGGTATGGCAACTTGGACCGATGCATATATGTGCCTGGTCCTAAGTTGTAGCTGTCTGACAGTTACTCCAATTAATTCATGAAACAACAAAATTCTTATTTATTGTCATTGATATCATTGACTGTTTCAATTTTGACATTATTAGCATGAGAAATGAACTGAAAAGTTCTAGTATATTTAACATTACAAGGGCAATGAAATAATGGATAATGAGATGGCGTTTAAAGCGAACGGTACTATATTCGAGTCCCGGAGTGAACGTCAAATCTAAGATGCAGGTACATCCAGCTGACGAGTCCTAAATAGAACTTAGTGGATTCTACTGCTAGTTACTATCTTTGCTTACAACTATTTAAATATATAAATTCCAATGAATGTCCGATTATGACAAAACTTGAGAAGTGCTAGTTTATAATCAATCACTAGTTCCAACAAACAACTAATCTTCAGAAGTTATTATTCCCTACAGTCACCATATACAAATGAGAGTTCATTTTTGATGATGTTTTGTTCTCTGAGCTGGATAGTTTGGTCATGGAGCTTTCATCATTCTTCTGAACAACATCATCAGTAAAAACTTCAGGAAAACTTCATTTCTACTTGAATGTTGTGCTGATGATCTTGTTCAAAAGAACGATGAAAGCTCAATGATCTAGCCATCCACCTCACACAACAAAACTCCATCAAAATCATCCACCTGATCTACAAATCTTCTCCACCATCTCAAGAGTTCATTTTCTTATTCAATGAAGCATTTTAAATATATATTAATATATACCCGAGCTCTCAATTTCGGGGAAGCCGCTATAGTAAACTTTGGGGAAACGGCACTAAAACCCCGAAATTTCCGCAGACCTGGGGAAATTCCCCAATATCTCTCCGAAATTCATTTAATTTTGGAGATTTTCCCGAAATTTCCCCAAACGTTGCTGAAGGTCATTTGACTTCGGGAGTTTCCCCAAAATTTTCCCAAACTTGGGAACTCGGGTATATGAATGATGAAAAAGATCATAATACTACTACTTGTAGTAACAATAATAGTGGTAGAATACTACCTTAAGAAATTTAATCGTCGAGGAAATTTGAGAATATCTACAATAAATCAATAAAAAGAAAAAGAAAATTATTCAGATTCACCTTGATATTAATAATAATCTTCACACATTGAAATCATGAGTCAGTTGAAGCTATACCACCATTGGAAACCTGGAAGCACTGGACGGCCGCTTCGTCCTAGTACGGGACTCTTCAGCAGTGCGCGTCCACGATCTCTCACCCAGCGGGATTCGAACCCAGGACCTACTGGCTTCGCGCGCGAGCACTTAGCCATTAGACCACTGGGCCGACATCCAATGGTGTTAAGGTCTAACTTTAACTAATCCACGAAGTTGCGGGGTGCGGGGTGCAGGATCGTGGATGAGCACTGCTGAGGAGTCCCATACTAGGACGAAACGGCCGTCCAGCGCTTCCAGGTTTTCAATGGTGGTCTAGCTCCAACTGACTCATGATTCCAATTTGTGAAAATTTCTAAAATCTCCACAAACCCCTTCTGATATTAATAATGATAATCATAATTTTGATTGTGTCAATTATAAAACTTTCATTTTTCATTCTAGTCTAAGACACTAGTTAACAATGTTCATATGATATAAATCAAAGATCGAATTCAGAGTCATCCATCTCTCATATTGCATGATAATTACAAACTAACACTTTAAGTTGTTATCTAATAAATTCATATTCAACATTAATTGTTTCAAGATAGTGAGGAACTGACTTAATTACTTATGCCTATTACTCCCAATAGAGGAGCATAGACTGCCGATCAACATTCTACAACCCACTCCCTACTGGACCTCCCTTTATATTTCTATTCAAGTGTTCTTCATTCTTTTTCCTATGTCACGCTCCGTTTCTCTCTGTAATGTGTTCTTTCGTCTTCCTCTTTCGCTTTGTAATTGAGGATTCCATGTGAGGGCTTGTCTTGTGACACAGCTGGGTGTTTTTGTTGCGTGTGCGATAGAAGAGCCATATCATCTGCGAAGTTTAGATCATCCAACTGCATTTTAGCTGTCCACCGTATTCCATGCTTTCCCCGAGATATTGACCTCTTCATAATGCAGTCGATCACGAGGAGAAAGAGAAAGGGTGAAAGTAAGCAACCTTACCTGACACCGGTCTTTACTTCGAAGCTTTAAGGTAATTTGTTAATTTTGACCATCTATATACATATTCAGGACTTTTCTTATACAGACAGAAACGGACCAATCCAACCCATGTTAATAAGTGAAATGGTTTTTATAAACATTCGTTACAATGGTATAGTAACTTTCTAATCAACCATATCCATATATCATAGCTGAATTTCATTTATAAATCTTGATAGTAACAATGTGGTCACCGAATGTGAAAATATTATGTAAAGATTTTGTAAGAAGACAGTGTATTCTACCAAAAATATATAATTGTTAAGTTTATCAAAGTTTACAATAGTTAAGATCGTGGAACAATTGAAACTGTACCACCATGGAAAACCTGGTAGAACCACGATCCTGCCTCGCCAGAATCGAAGTCAGGACCTACTGGACTCGCGGACAAACGCTTAATCTCTAGACTACTGAGCTGACATTCACTGGTGTTAATGTCTAACTTCAAACTTCGTGGTTACTCACTGCTGAGAAGTCCTTCAAAATAGGATGAATGAAATAAGATTTATTAATCGGTTTCTGTAATGGTTGGATATTAAGCGGTGAAGCATTGGACACCTGGAATCGTTGAACAGCCGCCTCGTTTTAGTAATAAGATCTCCTACACAACCCTAACAGAGATAGACTTACTTACTTACGCCTTTTACTCTTCATGAAGGAGCATAGGCCGCCCACCAGCATTTTCCATCCAACCCTGTCCTGGGCAATCCTTTCCAGTTATTTCCACTTATGATTCATCCTTTTTGTTATCTGATTCTATTTCCCGAGGTAATGTGTTCCTTGACCTTCGTCTTTTCCGCCTACCTTCACGATTCCAAGTTACGGCATGCCTCGTAATGCAGTTTGATGATTTGCGTAATGTATGTCGTATACATTTCCATCTTCTTTTCCTAATTTCCTCTTCATCTGGGATCTGGTTTGTTCTCTCCCACAAAAGGCTGTTGCTGATGGTATCCGGTCAATGGATGTTGAGTATCTTAAGCAGACAGCTATTTGTAAATATGTGTAAGTTCTTGATGATGATTGTAGTAGTTCCCCAAGTTTCAGCTCCGTACAGTAAAACTGTCTTGACGTTCGTATTGAAGATTATCACTTTGATATTGGTTAAGAGACAGTTTTGAGTTCCATATGTTCTTCAATTATACGAATGCGATCCTTGCTTTGCCAATCGTCGCCTTTAGGTCTGCATCCGATCCTCCTTGTTCATTGATGATGCTTCCCGAGTACGTGAAAGATTCCACATCTTTTAGACTTTCGCCATTAAGTGTGATTGGGTTAGTGTTCTCGTTTTTGTATTTGAGGATCTTGGTTTTCCCCTTGTGTATGTTGAGCCCTACTTATACAGAGACTGCTGCTACACTGGCTGTCTTTTTCTGCATTTGTTCTTATGTATGGGATAGGAGGGCTAGGTCGTCTGCAAAGTCCAAATCGTCTAATTGGTTCTGAGCCGTCCATTGTATTCCATATTTTCCCTCAGATGTCAAGGTATTCATAATCATGTCGATCACCAGAAGAAAGAGGAAGGAGGAAAGTAGACAGCCTTTTCTGACTGTGGTCCTTACTTGGAATGCATCTGTCATCTGTCCTCCATGAACTACTTTGCACTAACAGAGAAAGAACTTAAGGTTATTAAGTTTTATGTTCCAAAGATCTCGATGGAAATAAAGACTGTTTATAATAGATTTAAGGCTAACTATCGGTTATATTTATGTCTGATACGAATCATCATACGTAAATCTCATTACTAAAAGTGTAATTTTATACATTATACTACTTACCTTGTGAATTATTATCATTATAAATCGTTCCTCCACAATGATCATTATCATTACTATATGTCATTTGTCGTCGAATAGGTAATAATGGTCTGTTATTATTAATAGTAGCTTCCTTTTTATCAACATTATTACGTCTAACTATATCTGGTGTTCGAGATTCAATTTTATTATTATGAAATACATATTGATTGATTCGTTTTGGTGTAAGTTGTCTTAAATCATTCATGTCAAATGATAAACATCTTTGATAAAGAGTTGGAGGTAATTCTCTGTCTATTGACATTGGTTTACTTAGTTTACGTGTACTTATTGTGTTATCATTATTATTATTGTTATTATTATTACTGTTACTATGGTTACTATTATGATTATATTGAAGTAAGTGAACACTGTCATACACTGCTCTTGGTCCATGAATTGTCGGTCGTCTATCTTTATTGTATACAGGTTTTTGATCAATTCCCTCTAGGTAAATAGACAAATCAGGTTTTTTAAAAAAAAAACAGAAAGAAATTGAAAATAGAAACGATAATAAATAGGAATAGGACATCTGAATATCGTTTTTATACGTTAGATTGAATCGAATAGAGAAAGAGAATGAAATTTCCAAAACTATTCTATAGTGAATTATTACTTGTGTATCAGAAGGGGTTTTTGTGGACATTATAGTAATTTCAATTGTTGAGATCATGGGTCGATCAAAGCTAGACCATCATGGAAAACCTAAAAGTACTGGACGGCTGTTTGATCCTACAGTGAGCCTCCTCCTCCTACGATCGCGCCCTACGATACTTTAACCCATGACCTATCAGTGTCGCGTGTGAACGCTTAACCTCTTGACCACTGACTCGGTCAATATCCAATGGTGTTAATGTGTAACTTCAATGAATCCACGAAATCGAGCGATACATCCACTATTGTTTTCAGTGAGTTACTATCTCATCCTATTGTGGGACTCGTCAATAGTGCTCATCCATGATCCTGCCTCACGAGATTTTCCATAATGGCCTAGCTTCAATTGACTCATGATCTCAACTATTAAAACTATTATTTATGTATTTTATTATGTAACAATTTCAATTTTGTGATTTTTGTTTCATAGTTACTATGTCACTAAAAAAATTTGAAAGTTGTTGATGAGATAGGAAACAAGCAAACAAGTTACTAACGGACTCTAACATCAAATCAATTGATCATCCGTGAAATGATAAGGAACTGAAAATGTACCAAAGAGAATTAACGTATAGATATATATGTATCTTCCATGTTAGATATGACATTCAACTACTTGTATTCGGAGAATTATTTAAGAATACTAAGTGAGTGTATTGTTTTGTATCACAGTTTTTCTTTGTTTAAAGGCAAATAATGCTTGATGAAAATTCTCATCCATATGATTTCATGATATGGAATATCTAGAGTTCTTAGATTTTTGTATATAACATTTTAGGTCGTTCTGAAATTATACCATTTATTCACTCAGGATCATGAAGTCCTTGTTCACCACTAGTTTGGAATCAAGGTTTTTTCAATTTGCTTACGTGAGTCCTTCATATCCACCAACTGTGTTAGAGCATTAGATATTTACTTTTCATTCACTCAATTTCGTAAACAACATCCACACCGCAAGAAGGCAGTGAATAGGACTTCGTCGGCAGTGGCAGTATATTTGAGTCCATGTGAAAGCATTTCGAGAGAGAGGGAGATCACTCTCCTCACCATTGGCCGTACAAGTGTATTTAGGAGTGAATACATATTTAGTTTTTTCAGTACATTTTTCAGAATCTGTGGTCTGAATGGAAGCATACTCTTTATAGATGTAATCGTTGAACACTCACTGAAGAGTGAACCTGAAGTAGGAAACCTTGATTCATTAAAAATACTTAATTACTAATAAATACCACATTTAATCAGCTCAACAGAAGCCATTAATAATGAGTCCTTCTAAGATGATTTATGTGTATGAGATAAAAGCATGATAAACTTCTTTTCTGATGTAATAGAGTTTATTATAAGCAAACAATTTCACTTCACTTGGTATTGTTTACTTGTATCTTCCCATTGTTATTTAGGACTACAATTGATCAATCATTTATTGGTATATGTGTATATTGTGAGTATAGCCTGGATATTGCCTGAATTCACAAGCTTTATAGAATCAAAGATGGATAGTGGCTAGTAGTGGAATCCAGGACGTGCACCACTTCGTCCTATTTGGAACTCATCAGCTGAATATACCTGTATCTCAGAGTTGATGTTCACTTATTACGCAATATAATCATTTACCAATTCACTGACATTTATTAATGAAGTTATTTGCATTATACTTACATCGACTGTTGATGTGACCATTAATAGTTATGAATAGTAATAATTATAACCCCTTTCCCCCCCCCCCCAAAAAAAATAGTTTATTTTCAATATAAAATATGCATCAATTCGAATGAATTACAATTTACACCTTAATTTATATCGTTTCAATTACAATTTCCTTGAATAAATTATGTTAACTCATTGTTTGTTATCAGTAAAGATGTTAGCAGTTTGTAATTGTAGTGAACGTGAACACTAAATAGGGACAATCAAATGTATTTGAATACCATATTACAGAATATCTTAGTAACATCTAAGAACTATACAATAAATACTTCATTTGTAAAATGTTCATTAATTATCTCAGACTAAACTGTTCATATAGTTCCGTTCTGGTATATCTAGAAGGTTGTACTTGATATACTGCGTATAACGTGAGTACTAGAACACCAGAACCCTTCCAAGTCGCAATAAGAAGATAGAAGACTAATGAAAGGAATATTTTTCCCAGACAGTGTTAATTATAGTAGAAAATTGTCAGGTATTTATAGTCCTCCAATCCGCATACAGGGGGTTATTAGTATTATCCATTTGGGAAGCTACATGTAGGAATTCTAGAATATTCTTCCAAAAGGTGATTGGATGGAATATCTTCGGCTTCTTCGGAGCCTCCTACAGCTTCCTCGAGTTCACCTGTGGTCCGTAGTCACACATTCTTTACTCCTCGATCATCTAAAATTACCACTGCCAGTTATTCTATCCCGATCTAGCGCTATATACTACTTATATCGATATAAGTAGCACACACATACACCACATAGTCACCCTATAAGATTCTTGTAAAATATATTGATTAGATCATTTTATTCTGCAGGAATCTTATTATGCTTACTTCGTACAAATTTTGATTTCATTTTTTTATTGTGAAGCTGAATATATTTTAGTATTAACAGAGGTTTTATGGATATTCTAGTAATTTTAATAGTTGAGAACATGAGTCAATTAAAACTAGACAATCATAGAAAACCTCGAAGCACTGGACAACCGTTTCATCCTATTTTAGGACTCCCGAACGATGCGCATCCCAATAATCTTGCTTAGCGAGATGTCGAACCCAGAACGTGCTTTGAAGTTTGCCTTATCAACAAGATGTACCTAGAATTTGCATAAAATTAATACATTTCAATAATATTACTTATTTATAAACTACTTACCAACTAAATGTTCATCAAAATTTTGTAAAATATTTGCTAAATTCATTCGTTCAATAAGTATAGCTAATTCATATGGAGTTTGTCCAGATAAATTAACTAATGTTGGTGATGCACCATAACGTAATAATAAATTTAAACAATCCATTTCATCAGCTAATACACATAAATGTAATGGTGTATTATGATTTTCAACTTGTGCATTTAAATCAGCTCCATAAATGATTAATTGTTTTAATGTTTTACTACGACCATTTAAACAAGCCTTGTAAAGTAAAACAAACAAAATAATATCAGAAGGAGTTTTATGGAGATTGTAGTAATTTCAACAGTTGAGATTATGAGTCAATTGAAGTTAGACCACCATGGAAAACCTGGAAACGGCCGTCCAGTGTTTCCAGGTATTCCATGGTGGTCGAGCTTCAATTGACTCATAATCTCAACTGTTGAAACAAAATGATGAAATTTGATGGGTTATGTGAACAAAATTGAAACCTTTTTATAAAAAAGGACAACGTTTATCTAAATACATTTCAGTATTATATATATTAATCAGACGGGGTTGTTATGTCTGTTTTACATTATGTCCTCATTCACGCCTCTTCTACTCTTTTGCATATTATTTTATACTACTTATTAATATTCAGTAAATAGTTGTATTATCAGTAATATTTAAACTTTTTGTTGTAACATATCTGAAATATTTATATGTACTTATAAGATTTATTGTATTTATCATTATAATTACTTTATCTCAATCACCAAAGCAGTTATCTACAGTTTTGTGTATTTGTTTAAACGCAAGAGGTCCCATGCTGTTTTGTTGTTGGTTCGGGTTTTACTTGTTGATAAACTGTTATCAAGTTTAAACACAACTATCAACTGTTCTTTACAATGTCGAAACCCTTTTTATTTCATACAAAAGTACGCGTTAAACGCCATAGACACCTCGTAAGTTGAGAACCGCTATTTTAGATAAATCGTTGTTTTGCGAACTTCGGTTTTGCGCGTATCTCAACCCTTCGATATACCTAACAAGGTGGATATTATAGTAGTTTTAATAGTTGAATTTATGAGTCAATGGTGGACGGTGGCGCAACTTCATTGATTGATTGAAGTTAAACAATAACATCATTGGATGCCTTGTATAAGCAAGTGGCTATCAGCACTTCGTATCTAAGTGGGTAATGAGATGGCGTTTGAAGCAAATGGTAATGAGTTCGAGTTTCGGAGTGAATATCAATTCTGAGATACACGAACATCCAGTTGAAGAGCCTTAAATTTGACGAAACAGGCATCCTGGATCCCACTGTTAGCTACTATCCATCTTTGCTTATAATGATCATAAGGTTTATTTGAGATAACTGTTTTGCTTAAGAAATTTGATTTCTTTCAGTAAACTACATATACGTTAGTGTAGAGATAATGAATTTCAATAGTAATTTACGAATAAAAGGAAAGGTATAGAACTATTCAATCAACGCGTTTAATTTGTATGACATTAATGAATTAGATAAAGAAATATTATTAAAACAGATTTTGATGGAGTTTTGTTCTCTGAGATGGATGGTTTGGTCGTGGAGCTTTCATCATCTTCTGAACGACATCGTCATCATCATCCGCACAAACTTCCGGTAGAACAAATACATATATTGTGGTAGATTTAAAACTACATGAGATACATTTGTATTCAAGGCTAGTTAAACATATTCATTGAATTGGTTGAAGTTATTTGTAACGTTTTCATATTCAGTATGTTTCAATTACTTTTTCGTTGATTTAATAAGTGAATGGTACATATTGTAGTGTAAATTTTATGAAAGCTTACAGTTAAAGCCTTGTAGCTATGCTAGATTTGTTGGATATGTCCGTAAAAGACAGATGATAACAAATATATTTATTAAACTCATTTAAAGTTCAATACTACTAATCTGGTACAATGTTTATGGCCACGTATTGCGTATGTCTGAACACCGATTACTACGAAGTGCAATGCTAACCAGTGTTCGAGATGGTTGGAAGAAAGTAAGGGGCGGCCAAACGAAAACGTGGCATCAGTGATTGAGCCATGTTGACAGACACAGACTACTTGGTTGGGCTCCGCATGACTATCTTAACCAGTGGCTGGAGACTCTTGGTGACATGGATCAAAATCAATCACAATGATGTCGGCGTATACACCCTCTGTCTTCCTTTAAACTAAGAGATTAAAATCACTTCATATCTTTCTTTCTACGAACTAATTCTTTCTTCCTGTACTATGTTCTTATATGCAGTCTTTCTCCTATATATTACCACCTCTGAATTAACTACTTTTATGAATCCGGTGTTCATCTTGCTGTGCTAATGAGGTATGGCAACTTGGACCGATGTATATATGTGTCTGGTTCTACGTTGTAGCTGACTGACTGACTTTATGGTAGATAAATGTTTCAATTCTCAAGTTTCAAATACAAATTTAGAGCTGTTAAGTCAATCATAAAGATGATTCTTATTTGAATCCAGGAAAATAATCACTACTGGAATCCAGGTACAATTAACGGATGAATTTGTAATAGAATTTTAGTGACTCGTGATCTGATTTCAATTAGATCATATGTTGATCGTTATTGAATGATTGCTATCGAAATAAATATGTCACCCATCTTCGTATATAATTATTGAATTAACTTGCATTAGTGAATACGAGAAAGGATTTCAATTACGTACATTTTGTACAATCATTAATCTAGGCAGACGGTCAAAGAAACAAGGCGAAATGAAATGATACACGGTGGAGAAGGCATGTGAACCAACTCCATTTAGCAAGAGTTGATCAATTTGTATAGTCAGATAAAAATAAATTACAGATATGCGGTGGGTAAGATAGGAAGTGCACACACACACACACACATAAAGTTAAGGTTGATAAGTGTATAATTAACAAGGTCAAAACGTGACTCAAGAAGAATGGATAAACTGACCTATTTAGAAGCTAGAATAAGGTATATGGGCTTAACATAGCAACAGACACTACAGGATTAAGCACATCTGAATTCCTAACAAGCTTTGTCACCGTAAACATCAATCCGCTGATATATTGAATCCTTCATTTAGACTTACCTTATTTATTTATTATATTCATTTAAACACATAAATATTGGTACAAGGAAGCACCAAACAGATATGAGCCACATAAATCATTCGATTTTTGTGAGGGCTGAAATACTGCACTGAGTGCTCAAGCCTAAGTAGGTGGTTTTCTTAGGGCGGCACACCTGCAGCCTTTGATCTAAAGGTCTGATCCACAGGGTAATGGACAAAAGTCAGGAGATACAGTCCCATGGTAACCGGTCACCGACAATTGGTTCATACGCCATTCGTCCCCTCAGGACGCTGGAGCCCATGTGCACCATTGGTTTGGAATCAGGGTTTTCCAAATCCCCTAAGTGGAACCTCCATATCCACCAACATAGTTAAATCTCCATACATTCACTTTTAGCCCTCTCAATTTCGTAAAGAACACTCCTGCCTCTAGGAGGCAGTGAGTAGAACTTTCCTGTCAGTGGTTGTATACACGTGGCCATGTGAAAGCAATTCGAGAAGGAGAGCTGACTCTTCTCACTCTCGGCTGTACTAGAGCATTTAGGAGCTAGACTTATTTGCTCAACGATTATTGACATGTTAAGTATAAACTTAGTGATGTTCAAAGCAATACATATAGGTTTCAAGTTTCAATACTGATCCAGTTACATTCAACTGGCGAAATTCAAATCAATCGGATAGCTCAGTGGTAACGTCTCTGACTGTGAAGCTGGGTGACACGAGATCGAATCCGCCAGGGAGCACCAGTTCCCTCGAGATTACAGGTACACCTTGCTGACGAGTGCCAAGTAGCACGAAACCCGGGTCCAGGGTTTCCTGTTGACTACCTCCAACCACCATCTAATCTCAATATACTTCCTAAATTCCATCATAATTTGAAATGAAGTAAACTTAACCAATTGTATCGTTTAACATTAAAAGAACAACAAAATATAATCTGAATCTTTCGAATTCATATAATAATCAACTTACTTGATGAATTTCTTGTCTACCTTTATCATCGGTTACACCAAGTATAGCATGATCAAATAATAAACGCTGTATACATTCTGGTTGAATATCTTCTGAACAAGCATAATATAATGGTGTTAAATCATTTTTATCACGTACATTAGGATTTTGTCCCAATTCTAAAAATACCTTAATTATGAAAGAATAAGAAAAAGAAAAATCTTTTTTTGATTAGTTGAAGTATCAAACTATTTGTTCTTGTTATCACTTGTGGGCTTTGTGATCCTATCACCGTATATCATGTGATGATACCTTCAATTAGAGAATTGTGATTTATCAACCGGACCAATAATATGTAGAACCAGTGCGAGCAGTTTAGAGTCCTTACCGGTTCTTCTTTCTGCCTATCTATGCCTGCCTGTTAGAGTCCAGAATACCAAATTCAACCTCTGAGATATGAATCATTATATTTCAAACATACTGGGTTAATATACTAACCAAAGAGACCACATCACACCATATAGTAGGGAACAACATTTGTACAAGTTCTAGCCAAAAGTGGTCGTGAATGTGGGTGATAGTAATTGATAGACTGAATATGACTCAACAATGGTAAGTCGTATAATAACAGCTCATAGATCAAAATAAAGCTTATAAGAAGAGGAACACGTATATGCATGTATATTATTAGTCCAAAAATAGACTGCAACAGTTACCATTCATTATTCCCATCGGAATATAACACTTTTCAGTAGTATAATCAAATTGTGTTGAAATTAAACCGAAAAACATTTATCAATTATCTTGTAAGAAAATAATAATAATAAGTGTCAACCAAATGCTTTAAATAGAAGTTTCATACCATGAGTGAAATAGTTTTCCAATGTGTTCTTACATTTCACAAAGATTCTCCAGTTGATAACAGCTGGAAATGGAAATTATTTACAAAAGAAAAAACCTAACCTGGAATAACATTGAATTTAATAGTTGAATTCATGAGTCGATTGAAGATAGACCATCATGGAAAACCTGGAAGCACTGAACGGCTGTTTCATCTTAGTATGGGATTCTTAAGCAGTGCACATCCACGATCCCGCCTCACCAGATTCAAACCCAGTACCTGTCAGTCTCGTGCGAGCATGCCTAACCTCTAGACTACTGAGCCGTCCGGCATCCAACAATGTTAATGTCTAACCTGAACCAATCCACAAAGTTGCACCTCCGTCCACCATTGTCATCAATGAGCCAGAAATGTTATGTGTGCTACTGAATTTGACAAATATAGGTAATGTTTACCATCAATATAAATCAAGAGCAGCAAAGCAACAGGACCAAACAACATTCCAGCAGACGCACTGAAAGCAGACGTAGCAAAGATACTCTACATTCTCTTCAGCAAGATTTGAGATGAAAAACAAATACCAATAGACTGGAAAGAAGGACACCTGATCAACGTATCAAAAAGGCGATCTTAGCACATGTGAGAACTACAGAGGCATCACTCTTCTCTCAATACCAGGAAAAGTCTTCAACAAGGTACTGTTAAAGAAAATAAAAGACTCCGTAGACACTCAACTTCAAGATCAACAGGCTGGATTCTGTAAGGATCTGTCGAGTACAGACCGAATCGCAACACTACGGATCATTGTGGAACAATCAATTTAATGGAATTCATCACTCTACATCAACTTCATTGACTACGAGAAAGCATTTGACAGCATGGACAGGACAACTCTATGGAAGCTTCTTCTACACTACAGCGTGCCTGAGAAGATAGTTAATATCATACGGAATTCCTATGATGAATTAAACTGCAAAATCGTGCATGGAGGACAGTTGACATACCTCTTCGAAGAAAAGATCGGTGTCAGGCAAGGTTGCTTACTCTTATCCTTTCTCTTCCTCTTGTTGACCGACTGGATTATGAAAACGTCAGAATTTTCAATACAAATATCAAGACAGTTCTATTGTATGGAGCAGAAACTTGAACAACCACGAAAACCCATCATCCAGAAGATACAAGTGTTGATTAACAGTTGTCTACGCAAAATACTTCGTATCCGTTCGTCAGACACTGTCAGCAACAACCTGGAAGAGAACAAACCACATTGCAGTAGAAGAAGAAATGAAGAAGAGGAAATGGAAGTGGATTGGACACACATTGTGGAAAACACCTAACTGCGTCACAAGACAAGCCCTCACATGGAATCCTCAATGACAAAGGGGAAGATGAAAACGAAAGAACACATTACGCCGAGAAATGGAGAGTGACATATGACGAAGAATGTAGAACAATGGGATAGAACTATAAAGGAAGGTCCAGTAGAGAGTGGGTTGTAGAATATTGATCAGCAGTCTATGCTCCTCTACTGGGAGTAACAAACGTAAGTAAGTAATGTATCATCAACCAAAAGTGAAATGTCTAGTGGCAAAAGGTTAAAATGATTGAAGAAAAGAAAACGAAAACACACATTGATTGGTATGGAAATGTAGGAACAATCAAGTCGGAGATGATTCATTGATATTTTACAAATGAATTGTTCACTGTATGATTCTCAGACTATACTAAGATGTTATGTAATTTTGTTCCCCACATTTATGTTCTCATTCATTACCATGTTAATTGATCATATTTAATGTTTATTTAGAAAAAAGAAACCAAATTAATGACAATCATTACAATTTACCTCAATAGCTTTTAAATTTCCATTGATTGCAGCTCTATGTAATGCAGTCATTGTATCTGAATCACGATAATCTAAATGTGCTCCAGCATTAACAAGTTGTAATATCATTTCACGTGGATCAGTCAATTCTGCTGCACAACCTAATGGGATAACTGAACATAACAAATGAAATCATATTTATTTATAAGAATAATTATAGTTTGATGAAAGTTACTCACACACACACCCACTCACTCTTAATTATATAAATGGTATGTGAACAATACAGTATATTCTAATTATTGCCCTGTTAATTACCATTTGAATAAATCGTCAATCAGAACACCAACTTATTCAATCTTGGCACTGAGTAAAACCAAATGACGTGTTAATCAACATAAACAACCTTGTGTCAACTCTGAGTCCTTATTGGTTCTTATTGCTTTGAGTCTAGAATACAACCTCAGCTTCCATTGTATGAACCACGTTTCTGTTCATTTACTAAATGATTGTTACATAGCATAGTGTGAGTTTTCATAGAAGAATTCATCCGAGATTTCGAACTGCTATTCACAATAAAACATTCATGATAATTCTAAATGCTTGAAATGTAACTGTTAGTAGAAGTTATACTGTAGTGATGGAGAACACGGATGAAGACAACCGAATTATGAGATGTTGGAGAAGATTTGTAGCTCAGGTGGATGATTTTGGTGGAGTTTTGTTCTCTGAGCTGGATGGTTTGGTCGTGGAGCTTTCATCGTTCTTTTGAACGACATCATCAGCACAAACTTCAGATAGAAGTGAAGTGTTCGAATATCTCCATATGTGTTTCACAGCTTGTTCTGTGCACCTCGATGTTGATTGGTTCTTATTGACCTTAAATTTGTCGTTGTTTACTTCTTTGTTTTGGTTGTGTCTCCCATTGTTTTGATTTTTGTTCTTATGTTTGTGCATGATTTTTAGAAGCCTGGCACTCAGGTCAGTTAGCAATCAACAAGCATATTGAATTCAATCCAATTTATCAACCAATCACAAAAATCATGCACAAACATAAGAACAAAAATCAAAACAATGGGAGACACAACCAAAACAAAGAAGTAAACAACGACAAATTCAAGGTAAATAAGAACCAATCAACATCGAGGTGCACAGAACAAACTTTGAGACACATATGGAGAAATTCAAACACTTCACTTCTATCTGAAGTTTGTGCTGATGATGTCGTTCAAAAGAACGATGAAAGTTCCACGACCAAACCATCCAGCTCAGAGAACAAAACTCCACCAAAAACAACCGAATTATACTTAGCACAACATTACAGAGTTACTTGGTAAAATAGAAAAACTACACTATAATAATTGATTTGCAAAATGTTCAATAATTGTCTCGAACTTCATTGTTCTTGCATTTTCATACGAATTGCTTTCTATTCCCGCTTATCCTTTCTTGATCTTCTCTCATCTACTCCTGGCAGACATTACATTCCTGACACGCGTCATATACTACTTATATCAATATAAGTAGTATGCACCACAATACGACAGAGGTTATATACCCGTTTTTCAACAGTTACCACTCATTATTCTCATCAGGATGTAATAGAGATCTTTAGATAGTTGAAATATCCAGTAAAAATTACATCCAATCAATGAACGAAAAAAATGCTTTGAAATTCTGGATCCTGAATAATTACTAACCATTGAATAACTGGTGGATAAACCCATATAATTGTCATTCAAGTGTTTAACACTCATTCAATAAATAAATGGAAAATGTAATGGAACATTTTCGGGGTGTAACATGTTTATTCAACATTGAAAACTTTGAGGATGATAACTGAACATTAAATCTATTTGACTTTATAAATCAATTCAGTCAACATCAAATAATTACCATTGAGTAATGAATAGAAACGAATAGTCCTATTGCATCAATTCATTTATGGAAAATTAAAAAAGCATGGTATTTCAGTAGTATAAACACTTAACACTAAAAAAGGAAATCTTTATTATATCATACAAATAAAACACTGGTGTGACTATCATTTATGGACGATCTCTTGAGCGATGCTGAAGTGAACTTGAGAGTGAACAATTACTAATTAGTAGAAGGGGTTTTGTGGAGATTTTAGAAATTTTAACAGATTGAAATCATGAGTCAATTAAAGCTAGACCATCATGGAAAACCTAGAAGCACTGGACGGCCGTTTCGTCTTGGCATAGGACTCGTCAGCAGTGCATATCCACTACTAATTTAGGACTAAATGAAGGTGATAAAGCAGTTAGAATTCCAATTTACAATTGATGGTGAGGGTTAAAAATTAGATTTAGGTTTTTCATCAGCTATAATGTCAAAACTTTATTTAGTCAAATGTATATGTGAATTCTGCGCCCAAATTCGTGTCTCGTTATCTTATATCGAATTGGTTCGTCCATAAATTATAGTCTTGCCAAAACACTCTTAAGAGATATATCATCACATAGGAATCTAAATTATTAAGAGTCTACTGAATATGATCAATTATTAATAGTAGTAAGTAAATTGAAATGATTTGCCATTTCATTGGTTTGATCATTTTCTTTTTTTTTTGTTGTTGTTGTTGTTGTTGACATTTAAAACTAGACCAATAAACTAAATCTCTTTCACATATACAAGCTTATCCAACATTTCGCATTGAAAACATTCTATGGAACGTTGAATGTTCATGATACATAACACCATTTAGATTTATGTACATTCAATGAATCAGGTTCCAGATATGAAGAAAAAAAACAAAAACATGGTAATGTTGAACATTTAAACTCACATATATATGTAAAATAAATGAAATATATTATTGATAAAAGAATAGATTACCTCCACTAGATGGATATTGAAAATTTGGATCTAAACCTTGTTCTAATAAATCTGTAACACGTCCAATATCATTACGTTTTATAGCAGATAATAACCGCTTTTGATGATGCTTTAACAAAAAATAAAACAAGAGATAGATAGATAGATAGATAGATAGATAGATAGATAGATAGATAGATAGATAGATAGATAGATAGATAGATAGATAGATAGATAGATAGATAGATAGATAGATAGATAGATAGATAGATAGATAGATAGATAGATAGATAGATAGATAGATAGATAGATAGATAGATAGATAGATAGATAGATAGATAGATAGATAGATAGATAGATAGATAGATAGATAGATAGATAGATAGATAGATAGATAGATAGATAGATAGATAGATAGATAGATAGATAGATAGATAGATAGATAGATAGATAGATAGATAGATAGATAGATAGATAGATAGATAGATAGATAGATAGATAGATAGATAGATAGATAGATAGATAGATAGATAGATAGATAGATAGATAGATAGATAGATAGATAGATAGATAGATAGATAGATAGATAGATAGATAGATAGATAGATAGATAGATAGATAGATAGATAGATAGATAGATAGATAGATAGATAGATAGATAGATAGATAGATAGATAGATAGATAGATAGATAGATAGATAGATAGATAGATAGATAGATAGATAGATAGATAGATAGATAGATAGATAGATAGATAGATACATAGATAGATCGGTAGAAATTTAGATAGAGAGATAGATAGATAGATAGATAGATAGATAGATAGATAGATAGATAGATAGATAGATAGATAGATAGATAGATAGATAGATAGATAGATAGATAGATAGATAGATAGATAGATAGATAGATAGATAGATAGATAGATAGATAGATAGATAGATAGATAGATAGATAGATAGATAGATAGATAGATAGATAGATAGATAGATAGATAGATAGATAGATAGATAGATAGATAGATAGATAGATAGATAGATAGATAGATAGATAGATAGATAGATAGATAGATAGATAGATAGATAGGTGAATATTTGAAGGTTTGTATGCCATTAAACAAATAACTGAACACTATAAACTCTTCAGTATTATTAAATCCAGTCAATTAAGGATATAACTGGTTTTTCAAATGCTTATTATGTCCCAAGATTAGTATTTTATATTATTTAAGTTTAACTTTTATCTGAGTATAAAATTCATTAATAACTAGTTGGCTCTGAAGTTGGCCACGGTAAAGGTAGCGGCCGAACAAATTTCTTTTGGATGCAAAGCTCTGGTTTTTGATCCGAATACCAGTTGCTTCAGCCGTCTGCAGGATTCGTAGTTTGGCGGAATTAAGCAGACTACTGTTAACACGACATATCATTGGGAAAGATTGCTTTATGCCACTTTTTTTATATCTAACAATTCAACTGCTGCTGTAAAGTACGCTACATTGTTAGATGTTCTAGCAATTTATAAATTCCGGCTCATCAGCATCTCCCAGTATGGTTAAACAAAGCTGCAGTTAAAAAGGTTAAAACAGCTCCATTTTAGTCCATTTAATTCAGACGGGATATACAGCCAACATGAAGCAATTTTTCGTAATGATATATCGTGTTAACATCAGTCTATTTAATTCCGTCAAATTGAGAATCCTGAAGACGGCTAAAGCAATTGCTATTTGGATCAAAAGCCTGAAATTTGCATCCAAAAGAAATATGTTCAGCCGCTTCTTTTACCCTGGCCGAATTCAGGGCAAACTACTTTATGATCAGTTTTATAATACGGTGAATTATTTCGATTAATTTCCATTTTTATATATGCTTGGTATTGTTTTACTTGGATCTCCCCATTGATGTTTAGGACTGCAATTGATCAGTCTCTTATTAGCATGTGTGCATCCAATGAGGATTGCCTCGATATTGCCTGAAGTCACAAGCATTACAGACAAAGATGGATTATGGCTAGTATTGGGATACAAAATGCGCGTTTCGTCTTATTTGGAACTCGTCAGCTGGATGTTCCTGTATATAAACTTCATCCCCTTGCACAAACAAGTGGCTATCGAAACTTATTAGCTAAGTAGATAACGTGATAACGTTTAAAGGGAACTGTAATGGGTTCGAGTCCCAGAGTGAACATCAACTTCAAGATGCAAGTACATCCAACTGACAAGTCCCAAATATGATGAACTGGTTCATGTCCTGGATTTTACTACTAGACACTATCCATCTTTACTTATAATTCATGTTTATATCCTAAACTTATCTTAACCTTATTATATTAATCATGAGTAATAGATCATTTTGAGATAAATTTTACTTTCAAGGATATTTCAAGTTGATTATAATTTGGAAGTACTGGGAAACTGTTAAGTTTTAATATCTACATTGATGACAATACACAAGATTAAATTCAAGAGAATAAGTTCTAACTAAGAAATCATTACTTATTGATGATGAAATGAATATCAATAATCTCTCAGTTGATAGTGATGGAAATCAATGGATAATTGACTGATCAATAGTAAAGTCTTAGATTATTATTATTAAGTAATAAATGCTAATCATGATGTACTTCTTGGGTAAATACACATTCTGAAGTTTATAGTTTATTAGCTGAGTTGGCTAGTTTGTGGCAGTGCTGTTCTATTTCACCTTCGTAAACGATAAAACGCTCATTTGTATATTCTTCTACGCATCAACGCTTATCACATGAATTTTAAATAAATTTACTATACAGCAGTCAATCAGTGATGTAAGCACTTCGATTTCATTTAGTTGGTCACCATTGTAAACAAGGAGGTACTGAATATCTGTTCTATCCTATTCTGAAGCTCCTCAGCTGTGCCCATCGAGCCCAGAACATGTAGATCATACAGTAATCTTTAGAGAGATAAGTTGATGCACATTTTTGTGTATGTTTATCTGTGATCAATTTGCGATATTGCATGACAGCTTTTCCTTGCCCAAGGTAGATAACTGGCTAAAACCCAACATGGCTGAGCTCTACTAGTATCAATTTCACACTTAAACTCTTGGAACTGCATTTGGAAGTTGCTGTCAAATGAGTACAAGATTGTTATTAGTGAAGGAGATTTAATTGATAAACTTTTCTAGTTTAAATTGCTTGAAGTTAGCCGGACGATAACTCAGTTACTTAGAGGTTATGAGTAATCGCGAAACCAAATTTCCTGGATTCGATCCTCTGTGATAGGGTCATGGATGAGTACTATAGTGAAATCCCATGCTAATAAGTAATATCTATTCAGTAGTTCCTGGTTTCTAGTGGTGGTCTAATCAAGATCAGTCTATAATTTGAAATAATAAAATTTATTGATTCAGATTATGAACCGATCGGTGCGAAACTACCACTGAAAACCTGGAAGCACTGAACGGCCGTTTCGTTCTATTGTGGGACTCCTGCATAGCAGTGCACATCCATGATCCCGCATCGAGTGAGTCAGACCCAGAGCCTTCGGTTTCGAGCACGAACGCTTAACACATTATAATATTTAATGTAAATGAATGAAAACATATTCAAATCTAATGTCATTCGTTCATTATAACTTATTAAATGTATGATAAATGAATTTACTTTGGAATGAATTCGTTTAGTTGTTGATTTGGATCCCTCTAGACGATATTCTTCAACAAAACGAATTTTTGGTAGAAGCTATTCATAAAAGAATATCAAAATATACATTAACTCATCATTAAATAATTTGAAAAAAAAAATTAGGAAAAATTAAATTAAACATAACTGGAGGTTGGAGCCTCGAAGTGAACATCAACTTTGTGATGAAGATACATTCACCTGACAAGTCTCAAATTGGAACGAGACACACATCCTAGATTCCACTGCTAGTCATCATGCATCTGTACATATTAAAAACATGACGAAAATATTGAATTTCAACATTCTCCGAGAACAATACAATAATCTGTAATGTAAGTCGTTTTAGTTTTTGTCAAGTTAATTTTTAAAGAAGAGGCGATGGAAGTGAATAGGACACACATTGAGAAAAGCACCCAACTGCATCACAAGGCAAGCCATCACTTGGTATCTTCAATGCTAAAGGAGGAGAGCAAGATCAAAGAACACATTGTGCTGAGAAATGTACACAGACATGAGATGAATGATCAATAGAACTAGAAAGGAAGGCCCAGACGAGAGTGGGTTGTAGAATCTTAGTCGACGGTCTATGCTCCTCTATTGGGAGTAACAGGCGTAAGTAAGTAAGTAATTAAGTAGTTTTTGAATCTTATGTAGTTAGTATATTGATGAATTTTAAGTGATCAAAACTGAAGTCTGAAGTCTCATAACGATCGATATCAGACAGGACAACTTTCAATATATATATATATACTACTGTTAATATAACTAGTAGTATCCGTTGTTAACCGATAAGTTCAATGTTTAGCTGTAAGTATGGTTTAATGAATAATTACAGTAAATTATACAATTGATTTTAACATGGTAGAATATTTATAAATGGAAGATAATAGGAAGATAGTGAATTAATAATAAATAATAGATAAGTAATGAATATATTTATAACTCCGTCTGTAGCTCCTCTGGAGCTACTGCCGGTTCCAAACCCGGATGAAGGAGAAGGATTGGGCATAGGGTTAGCGACCCTATCCCATAGAAAACTAACTCGCTAAAAAAACGCTAACCATATATATTTATAATGTGGTGTATGTTACTTATGTTGATAGATATAAGTAGTATGTAGTAGCAATCGAAAGTGAAATGCCTTTTAGTAGATGATTAAGAAGATTGAAGTGAAGAGAGAATAGGAAGGAAAGAATAGAGTAATTGTAAGAACAATAAAATTGAAATAGTCATGAGTTGTGTAAAGTATAAATGAAGGAAGATATGCATATAATGTATTCAATGTATGATTCTCATATTTTAGGAAAACACTCTGTAGTTTTACATTGAACAGTAAATTGATTATTCCTATGAACTCTTCTTACACTATAATACCACATGCATATTCTCATTGTAGATGTTAAAGAGTGAATCTAATCTTTATTGATGTACTGATTTTCTAATTTCAACGTGAATGCTAATATTTAGAAGCTGGTATATCCAGACATCCTATCCCATAAACAAGAACAAAGCAGATGAAAACAACCAGTGTAGTAGAAGCTTCTGCATCCGTAAGCCTCAACATACAAAGGAAAACGAATGACCCTCAAATACAACGGAGAGAACACTAACCCAATCACACTTAATGGAGAAGCTCTGGAAGATGTGGAATCTACTAAGTACCTGGGAAGCGTCATCGATGAAGTAGGAGGATCGGATGCAAACGTAAAGGCGAGGGTTGAAAAACCAAATGTCGCATTCTCACAACTAAAGAACATATGGAACTAAAAACAGCTGTCAACCAATATCAAAGTCAGAATTTTCAACGTCAAGACAGTTCTCCTGTACGGAGCTGAAACTTTGTGAACTACCATAACCATCATCAAAAAAGTACAAGTATTTATGAATAGTTGTCTTCGCAAGATACTCAACATCCATTGGTGGGATACCATCGGCAGCAGCCTACTGTGGGAGAGAACAAACCAACTTCCAGATGAAAAAAAAATTATTGAAAGACGATGAAAATGAATTGGACATACATTACAAAAACTATTAAACTGTATTACAAGGCAAGCCCTAACTTGGAAACATGAAAGAAAATGGGAAAGAGGAAAGCTGAAGAACACAATGCGTTGGGAATTAGAAGCAGACATGAAAAGGATGAGTAGCAACTGGGAAGGATTGCCCAGGACAGAGTTGGATGGAAAATGCTGGTGAGCGGCCTGTTCTTGCCAACGAGGAGTAACAAGTGTAAGTACGTAAGTAAGTAGGTAGGTAGGTAGGTAGGCGGGTAAGTAAGTAAGTAAGTAAGTAAGTAAGTAAGTAAGTAA